TCCGGCTACTGGGAAGGCTGAGGTGGAAGGATCGCCGGAGCCCAGCAGGTCGAGGCTGCGGTGGCCGGGAGCAGCCACTGCACTCCAGTCTGGGCGACAGGGTGAGACTCCAACTCAAAAAAACATAAAATAAAATAAAATAAAAGTAATTTTCCAGGAGCACAATGATCAGTAATATTAGCTTTAAAAAATGACATCTTCCAAACAACAAAGCATTAGTATCCCAAGGGCAAATAACCTTAAGTCCTGAGTAATATTCAGTATCTATTCATGGAATCTTTTTTTTTTTTTTTTTTGATTGGGGTGAGCCAAGGTCTCACTGTCACCCAGGCTGCCAGGCTGGAGTGCAGTGGTGTGGTGGCACGATCACCACTCACTGCAGCTTCAACCTCCTGGGCTCAGGCGATCCTTCTGCCTGAGCTTCGGGAGTAACTGAGACTACAGGTTCACGCCACCACACCCAGCTGATTTTCTGTAGAGATGAGGTCTTGCTCTGTTGCTCATGTTGGTCTTGAACTCCTGGGCTCAAGCAGTCCTCCCACTTCGGCCTCCCAAAGTGCTGGGATTACAGGCATGAGCCTCTGCACCCAGCCTATTTGTGAAATCTTTTTGAGGGAGGAGGATAGAGCATACCTCTCAGAATGAGTTCCTAGAGTATATTGCAACAAACTAACATATTAGAGTAAATATCTTGAGGCATAAAGAGTAGAGTGGGAAGAGAAAAACAGGCTGATTGAGCAGACCTTTCTGCACATTCCACTGAAGTCAGATGGTCCAAGAAAGTGTGTTCAGATCTCATAGATAAACGAATTGCGGAAATGGAATTCTGTAGACTCTTTAGTTACTATCTGTATGGATCGACCCAGGAACAACTCATCTGTCTTGCAAAAGACCATTAGTTATCTAACCATACTTAAGTGGAAACGAGGTTAAAATAGACACCTTCAGAAGATCACTGGTTGTCTGTCACCTTATGCCATCAAGTTCTGGCCTCTGAAACCTATTTGAGAATCTAATATATAAGCTAATAAATCCTTGTAAGAAGAAACAAAGCTGTCAGTACTTCAACCAAAATTGTCTTATCCCTTTTTATATTCTAAATTATTTTCCTTAACGATGTGGTAAATGTAGGATTGGGGAAGTACTGGCATTTTGGCATCACATTTGGTACAAGCAGACAAGGTCATTTTTTAACTTTGTTTTTCCCAATGCAAAAAAAAAAAAAAGATATATAACTATAGTTTTGCATAGTTGTAAAATTTGGCTTGACCGCATATCTGATGATTTTTAGTAGGACTCCTTGCCAGTGTACTGAGCTTGAATATGAACAGAAGATATAATTTATGGAGCCTGTAAGCCATCCTCTTTCTGCTTGGCAAGTGTCCCTCTTCTCCCTTGAGATTAGACAGAGGCAGTTCTACCTTGTGGGAAACCCAGCTTCTTTTCTAAGTGGCCTGCGCAAATTAGATAGGGGAAGAGGAAGAGATAAGGACATTCCCACATGATTGACATGGTTCATGTGTTCCAGAGAGGCAAGGTACTTTTTTAAGGAAAAATGTGAGAACTCTGCTAGCTGGGCAGTTTTCATTTGCTTTCACAAAGTAAGCTTTATAGTTTTACTTTGACGGGGAAAGAAAGGATAGATACACTGATCATTGCATAGAATGAGAGTTGTTTTGGGGTTTTTTTTGAGAAAATTTTGTATTTTTTATTGATATATCATAGTTACACATATTTTAGGGGGTACATGTGATATTTTGATGCATACATATAATATAATGATCAAATCAGAGTAATTGGAATATTGTCACCTCAAACACTTCTCTTTTCTTTGTAGAATAAATTTTTATCCTGGAAAAAAAATTAAAGTTCTATTATTTTTTGATAGTTATGGGGTCTCCCTCCCACCTTGGTCTCCCAAAGTGCTAGGATTTCAGGCATGAGCCACTGCACCCGGCCTTCAAATTCTATTAGTTTTAAATTGGACTTTGGAAAATTTCAGAGTGCAAAAATACCATCATGTTATTTAATCAGTGCTTCAGCATGAAATGCATTTAAATCAGTTTGAAATTTATCTTTGATTAAGAATAAGGACCTAAAAAAGGCAGCATCCCCAGTCATGGCAGTAGTAGTGAGCTAGTATCCTTCTAAGTTTTGTGTGTGTGTGTGTGTGTGTGTGTGTGTGTGTGTGTGTGTGTGTGTGTGTGTGTGTGTGTGTTGGAGTCTCACACCATGGACCAGGCTGGAGTGCAGTGGCATGCAGGCTCATGGCCACCAGCATCGACCTGCTGGACTCGGGCAATCCTTCCAACTCAGCCTTCCAAGTAGCTGGAATTAGAGGCGTGTGCTACCACACCCAGCTAATTTTTTTCATTTATTGCAGAGAGGAGTTCTCACAAAGTTGCCCAGGCTGGTCTCGAACCCGCAGGCTCAGGCAATCCACTCACCTAGGCCTCCCATAGTGCTGGGATTACAGACTGAGCCACCGAACCCGGCCTAAATTTCATTTTCTACAAGGAATTTGACCTTTCCATCATGACCATATAGCACATTGTCCCCTTTCTCAGGGGTCATACTTGTTTCTGTCATTTTACCAATTCAGAACAGTAATTCCCTAAGATTTCGGCTCTTTCAGCCTTACAGCTCAGAAGTGGTATTTTTGTGGTGGCTGCTCTGTATACCCTTGCTTGCATGTGCACATACTCTAAGGGAATGAGAATGAATTGCACAAACCCAGGGAAAATCGCAGAAGTTATTTTTTTAGATTGATGTATCTGTGAAAGAAGATAGAGGAAAAGCAAGTTTTTAAAAAGTAGAAAATGAAATAGGGGTGCATTATTTAAAGTTATGGAAGATATGATAGAAGAACCGGGACTAGATAGTTCCCTTATTGGCACACAGAGTATACACGCATTTAAAGGAATGTTGCCTTTAAAGACTGCAGTTTGGAATTCTTTTTTTTTTTCTCTTTTTTTCCCCCTTTTTTGGAAATTCTTTTAAAATTTTCTACAGTGAGTAGACATCTGTGGTCGAAACAAAACACAATTGTTTTTGAAAGGTTTACGTTTGTGAGAAACTATCCCCACTCTCCAGATTCTCTGCTTGATTGAAACAGTCTTCCTTCTGTGACTGGCGGTGTTGATATGCTTGTCATAGGAGGAAATTCTAGCCCAGAGCTAGCGCCATAGCCTACTGACTAGGGGTCTCCTAGAGCTCCAAGAGCCTTCCACAGCAGCACTTTGGTGTTTAGCCTTTATCCTTACAGAATTGTGCTCATTTAAGATAAAAATAACGCCAGATGGATTCACTTTCTCTGATTTGTCTAGCCAGGCTCCAACTTCTATATGGTGCTATACCACGTAGGCCTAAACTCTGAGCTCTAATCTTTTTAGTAAGCTAAAGTTTGCTTCAGCCACTAAGCCCTTGCTCTTTACTCTTCTTTAATTATTTCCTGGAAATAGTATTAGAAACAAAGAATGTGTACTATATTTGTCATGTAGCCATTACAAACATATTTTTCAGCGATACATTATGTCGTGAATAGTACTCACAATAGGTTGCTAAATAAACAAACAGTGTATCAAGCGAAATGTGAGTTAGGATTCTGTTCAAAGTTGATTTGTGTAAACTTATAAAAAGACTTGGCAGAAATTCACCAAAATGCTGTAAATGGCTACTTCTTGATGGAATACCTATAGAAGTATATGCAGTTTTATTAATTTTTTTTACTTTACTTTTATTCCCAAATTTTTCAGAGTAAGATATATATCATTTTCATAATAAGAAACATAAAGCTTTATTCATCTAAAAACCTCTTTAAGAGAAATAAAGGGAAGTGGCAGGAATAGTCTCTGAGGAGGCCAAGGAAGAGTCAGTGTTTCTGTCGAAAGTAATGCCAGGCCTTGCTTCTGTTGACTTGCAGATTATTGAGCTCCTTATTCATTAGTTAGGTCAGAGTGTCCTGTTGATGAAAATTGCCAGGCTGGTAGCATGCAACAGGTGCAGACCTCTGCCGTGCAAGCCCTGGGAGTGTATTGAGAACTGCCAGCACTTGGCAGTGCTTTGCAACTCTCACAGCTGCTGTGTATCAAGCAGACACTGCTCTAACACTTCATGTGCTGTGATGTGAGATCCGGTACGCCCTCTTCCTGCACACCCCAGGCTTTGACCCACCACCAAATGCCTGGCCAGAGTATTGTCACGAGCACTGTCAAATGAAATCCAGGGCAGGAGTCAACCATCATTTAATGTGCTTCCAGAGAGAGTCAAAGAAGTAGCTATTCATCCAGGGTAGAGGAAACAGAAGAGGAAAAATGTAGAGCAGGTTCGTTATTTAAGAAAAACACAAAACCGATATTACAACTAAGAATTTGAGAGAGGCTTTGGCTATGAGTCAGGTGTGTGGTGTTATGTAAGGACTTATCAGTCGCTGTTTAAGAAAAATATCGGCCAGCCTCTGTGAGATGAATGAGGGGAGCTTACGCCAGGATGAGGCAGAACTAGTAACAAGGTCTCTCATCACGTCTCTCAGCCAAGAAAAACATGCATCTTCTCCAGAGACAGAATTTTTCCTCCATTCCAGGAGGCAAATATATGTACTTGAAATATATGTAGTCTAGGCTTTCAATGAGCAATTTTCACTAGCAGTTTTTTGTAACCTACTCATTAGTAAAAAGAGAAATCGTGGGGTAACTTACGGAATCTTTCTGCATCAGGAATGTCATCTCTGTAAGAACAAGTCAGTCCTGTGCCTAATCCCCTGCCTCAATACAGGACTCTCGGGCTAGTGTGGGTACACTAGGCCCACATACCTTTCTTATCACCTAGAATGTGCAACAGTACATGGAAGTGTTTCTGTTTATATAATCCTGAAGATGTCAATAATGATTAGAAGAGCTTTAGTCTTTGGTCAGTTTTCTTTGGCTTGGGGAAGCATACAGAATATTTGAACTTCTCATTTCAGACTGACCTTGACTTTCCTTATGTTTTTTCCACCTTAGATCATCCAGCCCCTCTTAGAACTTGACCAAAATAGAAGCAAATTAAAGTTGTATATTGGACACCTGACAGCCCTCTGCCATGACCGAGACCCCCTGATCCTTCGTGGACTCACCCCACCAGCTTCCTATAATTTGGACGATGACCAGGCAGCTTGGGAGAATGAGCTGCAGAAGATGACCCAGGAACAGGTGAGCCTCTCACTTGAGCTTTGACAAGGGCCTGCTAAGATCCAGCCGCTATTCATTTGGGCACAGTGGGAGCTCCTTGGGGAATTCAGTGTTCAGATTCAAGATTTTGGGGTGTGGAGAGAATTCTTGGTTTGGGGAATAGTTACAATGAAAGCCTGAAACTCAATCCTCACTATGGGTAGACACAGGGGCCACATTCTAGAAAGGACCATTGCCTGGTTCAGACTGGAGTGCAGTGGCATGCTCACAGCCACCACAGCCTCTACCCACTGGACTCCGGAGATCCTTCCCCCTCAGCCTTCCACGTAGCCAGAACTACAGACGTGCACTACCACACCCGGCTAATTTTTTTATTTATTGTAGAGATGAGGTCTCTCCAAGTTGCCCAGGCTGTCTGTTCTCGAACATGTGGCTCAGGCAATCCCCTGACCTTGGCCTCCCAAAGTGCTGGGATTACAGGCTTGAGCCACTGTACCCAGCCTGAGTCAAGATTCTTTCCAATGACTGGTCTTTGACAAATAGTTGGCATTACCTTTTGAAGGAAGTGCCCCTTGATTCTTGCTTCAGTGCAGCTCACTCTAGTGTTAGGAAGTGCTGACGTGTTAGGGGGAGCCTTAAGGACAGCCTGTTACATGCCTTAGGTCATTACATAGAAATGGCGGCCACTGAAGGAAAGTCTGAGTTAAGGATGTTTGGATTAGGGATTTTTGACACGTCAGTAGCATGTGTGTTCAGTTGTCTCTAGGGAACTGTGGGTTACGACATAGACATAGTCTTGAGTTTTTAAGTAAGAGAAACTTTAGGTGAATTAATTGAAGTTAACTAATGTCTGTTCAAGCTGCTATAACAAAGTGCAACAGACTGAGTGACTTATCAACAACAGATATTTATTTCTCACAGTTCTAGAGGCTGTAAGTCCCAGATTAGGGTGCCAGCATGGTTGCTTTCTGGTAAAGATTCCCTTCCAGGTTGCACACTGCTGACCTCATGACCTAATAACCTCCCAGAGGCCCACCTGCTAATACCACCTCCTAATACATTGGGGTTGGAATTTCAACACACGGATGAGGAAGAAGGTTGCTAACATTCAGTCTATAGCACCCCCTGTGCTGCATTTTCAGTTTAGAGTCACCTGTAAAAATCCAGTGTTTCTTTGTTTTACATGTTGTGATTTTTAGCTCAATAAAAAAATTATAAGGCTAGGCTAGAGACAGGAATCGTGAATAAAAGAAACAAAGAGAAAACAGGATAAGGAGATGAAGACAGGGATAGAGAGCAGACATGGAATGAGAAGAAAAGAAACGTTGGATAAACACTGAGAAATAGAACAAGAGAAAGAAAGTCAGGAGCGGAGACTCACACCTGTAATTCTAGCACTTTGAGAAACTGAGGCAGGAGGATCACTTGAGGCCAGGAGTTCGAGAATATCCTGGGCAGTATGGTAAGACCCCGTCTCCAAAAAAAATTTTTTTAATTAGCCAGGTGTGGTTGCGCATGCCTGTGGTCCCAGCTGCTTGAGAAGCTGAGAGAGAGAGAAACAGAGCCGTTTTAAAATACTATCCACCTTTTGCTACTGATTTACAGATAGACATTGATAACAGATAGACCCCTTTATAGACTTAGTCATACCACCAAAAAACTAAAGAAATGCACAGTATTGAACGTTTACTAAAGCTGACCAAAGTTTTGAAGGTATACACTATTTACAGCCAAATACTTCCTATTTGTTAAGCATAATTTGTTTACTTGTAGCGTGTGAGGGAAAATTGTGTAAAATACAAAACTTCTGTGGTGTGATGTTAAAGAGGGCAGTGACAACCCACAAGTCAAAAAATGCAAACAGGCCAGGTGCGGTGGCTCACACCTTTAATCCCAGCACTTTGGGAGACCAGAGCAGAAAGATCACTGTAGGCCAGGAGTTTGAGATTAGCCTGGGCAACATGGCAAGACTTGTCTCTAAAAATGTCTATTTTTTAATTATCTGGGCATGGTGGCATGCACTTGTAGCCCCAGCTACTCAGGAGGCTATGGTGGGAGAATCACTTGAGCCCAGGAGGTCGAAGCTACAGTAAACTACGGTCATGCCCAACAACTCCAGCCTGGGCAACAGAGAGAGACCCTCTCTCAAAAAGAAAAAAATAAAAGGAGACGAGATGGTCAGAGCTGCACTTGCTTCTCCATGATATAGATATTTCCTAACAATATGAAGACATATTTAGCAGCCTAACTGGTTATCCAAGATACCACATTTATTTGATTTGAAAAGATAATACAGCCAGGCTCGGTGGCTCAGCCTGTAATCCCACGCCTTTGGGAGGCCAAGGTGAGTGGATTGCCTGAGCCCGTGGGTACGAGACCCACCTGGGCAGCGAGACCTCATCTCTAATCAAAAAATCAGCCGGGTGTGGTAGCGCATGCCTGTAATTCCGGCTACTCGGAAGGCTGAGGCGGAAGGATCGCCGGAGCCCAGCAGGCGAGGCTGCAGTGGCCGGGAGCTCCGGCCACTGCACTCCAGTCTGGGCAACCGAGTGAGACTCCAACTCAAAAAGAAAAAAAAAAAAAGAAAAAGAAAAGATAATGCCTACTTCTCAAAGTTAGCATGTTGTCATAGAAATTGTAATGTCTTCCTTTCTTGAAAGAGAAATTTGCAGAGCTGCATTAAATTAGATGTCTAATAACCATTTTTGATATTAGTAACCATGTGGCAAAAACGCAACTGAAAATGTTAATTAGTTAATGAATAAAAATGAGACTGAGGTCAGACTCAGCAGCTTAACCTGTAATCCCAGCACTTTGGGAGGTCAAGGTGAGTGGATTGCCTGAGCCCATGGATTTGAGACCAGCCTGGGCAACTTGGCAAGACCTCATCTCTACAATAAATAAATAAAAAATTAGCCAGGCATGGTAGCATGTACCTGTAGTTCCGGCTTCTTGGAAGGCTGAGGCGGAGGATCTCCTGAGCCCATCAGGTCAGCACTGGGGTGACCGTGAATGTGCTACTGTACTCCAGCCTGGGAGACAGAGTGAGACTCCAACTCAAAAGAAAGAGAGAGAGAGAGAGACTGAAAGCCCACTGGAAACATGGCACATTTTAGAAACTTTTGCTTCAAAATTGTGCAGAAAAGCAGTGCTTCTTAAAGTACTAAGTAGCATAGTGGTATGTCAGAGTTTAACTGACATTAAGTTATTCCTTTGTAAAGCAGCTTGTCTTTGAAATGGAAAGTGTATTTTTACTCACTCCTGTATTTTAAATATGCCTAGATGGACATGACTTGGTCTTTCTAAGGGGGAAAAAAATCTTCAGGGTGAGGCCACTCAAACTGTGGTATTTTGTTATGGCAGCCCTAGCAAACTAATACACATCTTTTAAAAAAAAATTTTTTTTTCTGGGTATAGACTTCTTGGTTGACAGGCTTTTTCTCTCTCTCTCTCTCTCTCTCTCTCTCTGTCTCTGTCTCTCTCTTTTAATTGAGTCGGGATCTATTCTGTTGCCCAGGCTGGAGAATAGTGACACAATCATGGCTTACCCTGGCCTCCCACTCCTAGGCCCAAATGATCCTCCCACCTCAGCCTCCTGAGTAGCTGGGACTACAGGTGCACACTGCCATACCTGACTGATACTTAGTTTTTTGGTAAAGATGAGATTTGAACTCCTGGGCTCAAGCAATCCTCCTACCTTGACCTTCCAAAGTGCTAAGAGTATAGGCATGAGTCACCACATCTGGCCTTTTTTCTCTTTCTTTGAAAACTTTTTAAGATACTGTTCCATTTGCCTTTGGTTTACATAGTTTCTTTTGAAATCTGCTATATTCATAAAGTTTTGGTTTGGGGTTGGTTTTTTTTTTGGTTGGTTAGTTGTTTGGTATACCATGTTTCTTTTTTCTCTGACTGCTTTCAAGATATTCTCCCTATCTTTGGTTTTCAACCATTTGATGCTAACGTGCCTGATTGTGTTTGTCTTTATATTTGTCCTGTTTGAGATTCTCTGAGCCCCTTCTCTGGATCTGTGTTTCCTTATCTTTCATTAATTTTGGAAAATTCTTGGCCATAACCTCTTCAATACATCTTCTACCCCTTCCTTTCTTCTCCCTTTGTTACTACCATTATGTATGTGTTAGATCAGTTGATATGGTCCCACATCTCTTGCATGTCTGTTCTGTTTTGTTTTCTACTTTTTTTTATGTTTGTGGATTTTATTATTAGTTTGATAATTTCTATTCATCTATCTTCAAGTTAGCACAGCTTCACACAAGATTTCTTTTTGTGTGTGTCTCATAATTTTGTATTAAATGTTAAATATTCTGAGTAAAAAGAACAGTAGAGACTGAGGTAAATAACACTCATGTCTGGAAATAAGCATCCCTCTTTTTCCGTCAGGCCATTCGCATTGGAGACTGAGTCAGATAAGTCACTACTGGGTTGGGGTGTGTTTTTGCTGTAGTTACCTTCATTGCACCACAGGCTTTAAGTTTTCTAGTGGTGAACTGCCACTTTCTTGTGCTTCATGTGAGCTCCTGAGTGCCGATTTTTCTGTTTTCCTGCTTCATTCCAGTTTTCAGCAGGTCCTGCCTGCCTGCACCACGGACGGCTCTCTCTTCATGCTCTTGTCCTTCTCCAAGTGGAAGACAGCACTTGTTACCCAAAGCAGGACTCATGGCAAGGGCGGCAACGGCTTCCTTCTGCTCCAGTCTGTCTCAGTGTTCCAGTCCCACCCCCAGTGACTGACAGTGCCTCCCACTACTCAGTGCAGGCCTAGACTGTATACTGATTTCCTACTCCTTCCCCAATAGCAGCTTCTGCTTTGAATCAGTTCATAACTGGGGGACTTCCTGACTCTTTCCTGGTGATAGTTTGCTTTTGCCTAGTGTCAGCACCAGAGGTAGGGCAGGTTTTCTTCTCCTTCTCTAGTGGCAGCTGACTTTTGCCCAGGAATAGAGGCCATGAGGCTTGCCTGCCCTACCCCCAACCGCACGCCCCTTTTCCTGTCAGAGCGTCGCCAGGCTGCAGGCACTGAGGGGTGTCTTACCCTTCCCTAGCACATGGTTTTAGCTTCTTATCAGAGAAGAGTCCAGGGTGCAAGTGGGCTTGTAAGTCGGGTCTCCCATGGTAGCCAGCCACCACCTGTGCTCATGCAGGCCAGGAGC